GCCAATCCCTACCATCACACCAACACCTCCGCCAGTCCTGACCATGACACCACTACCGCCACTTGCCACAACAACACCACCGCTATTAGTCACGACACCACCACTACCACCAGTCTCAACCATGAAACCAACACAGTGACCAACCACAACCACGATGCCACCAACACCTTTATCATTTGTTGTTAGCAGCACGGGCAGCTGTCATCAACTATGGCTAGTAGGGAACACAAGGTTTAATTTAATATTGACATTACTGCCTTAAGTTTTTTTTTTTTAATTTAATAGAGAATGAATCATATGTTATTTTCAAATTTAGTACCCAACACAGGCCATCATTCCATCATTGACTTAATCCAGAGCAAGTAAGACCAATTGTATTTATCTTGGAGGAAGATCCCGATGACAGTTCACGATATGTGGTTTGGGAGTTTACGATAAATTCTTAACACAATAATTATAGTTATGTATTTTATTTTATGAATTTAATGATTTCTAATTCAATTTACAAAAATAATGGCTCTAGCCAGCCGAGGAGGAGAAATAGATCCATAGGAACTTCTAGCAAAAGACGGGCGATCATCTGCACAACCAATTCGGCGATATATGCTAGACACGTGAGCGCCCTTTGTGGCTCAGCGAGCATGTGTTTGCTGCACTGCCCAAGGCATGTGACTCTTCGGAGTATTAGAAAAAGTGGGAGCAGACAAAGCAAAATCGTCGCTCTGACTGCGGGAGCACGGGGGTCTCGATGCGCACCGGTGGAGTGCTCCCATGTACGGAGTATAAGAGGAGGCTGATAAGATTTATTTTTTTAGTTAAATCTTATTTTTCATTAAATGTATGCTAACTATTCTATTACACTGACAGACATTAGAGAAAGCACATGACATTTTTGCTACGTCAATTTAGCTATCGATAAATATATTATCTACTGTTTTTACGTTATTACAAACGGCATTTGTCCGTTGGTAATAAGCTAAATTCCTGTAGTAGTTGTTGTCTCTATCTGTTCTCAAGCTATGTCAAATTTTATTTTGAAATAACATTTTTATTTGGATATGAAATCTTTGATTTTATGGATGAGATTATGAACATAAGTTTAATACTTTATTTGACATAAGTGTTTAACTCATATTTAAGATTTTTCTTTTGGGCTAAGTGAGCGCTCTAACACAGCTCCTTAGGATTCTTCACTTTGTTTCTAACAAATGTGCAATGTATTTGATCACATATTTAAGATTTTTTATTCAAATATTATATTGCATGATATTCAAAGCTTTTCAAAATAAGTAATTTATGTTTTTGCGAGGATGAACACTCGACCCTCGGGATTTTTCACAATATTTTTCCAACCAATATGCTACGAGTTCAGCACTTTCATAACGTTAATTATGAATTTAAATTTGATCGTTTTTATGATGGATGACATCCACCCCAAAATAGAGACAAATGCGAGCAAGTAGAGCAAAGGCCTTCTGAAAGAGTTCATGCAGAGGAAATCAGAAAGTGAGAAGTAGTGGAAAAGCTAGTGTGTTCTTTCCTTCTTTTTCTAATCTATACAAAAATATTACCACTAAAATGTGAAGTTAAACATAGTGATAAGTTTCTCTTATGGCTACTAATAATGTTATTTAAACACAGTTCTAAAAATCTTTAATCATGGTTCTTAATTATGTGTCCGGGGGGGGCTAAAAATATTTGTGTTTAAAATAGCTATTTTGTCATATTTCTCTGAAAATTGTTCTAATTGATTCATGAGCAATAGCCATACTGTGGACAAAAATGTTATTTTTACTGTTTTCTTGAGCAATTTAACTTAATCTTCTCTCTTATTTGTGAGCCTATGACTAGAGGTGTAAACAAAGGCTCGCTCGTGTTCGGCTCGTTTATATTTCGAGCTCAAAAAGTGTGATCGTGTTCAGCTAGTTTGCTTAGCAAGCCAAACACGAGCCGTTCACGAACAAAGAGTCGTTTTCACAATTCTAATCACGTAGTCATAAGATGTTAAAGATTGGGGCAAGATTTAAAACATCATTTGAATCTAGTTTAAAAATTTTTATTCTATTTTCTTCATTAATATTTTTAATTGATTATAAATCTTTGTAGCATTGTAGTCAATTAATTTTTTTAAAAATACTACTCATCAAAGATATATATATAATTGATTAGTAGTATTGGTTCATGTTGTTTTTGTTCGGCTCGCTAACTTAGCGAACGAGCTGAACACGAGCTTCTTAACGAGCCGAACACGAGTTGTTCGCGAACAACGAGCCGTTTTGACAGCCCTACCTGTGACTAATTGAAGCAACATGTATACTAATAGTGGATATTTTATCAAAATCCTCCTTACAATTTATCTATTGGGCAATAATTAGAAGGAATATTTATATTGTTACTTTTGAACTTATATTTATTTATAAAATTATCACCCACATCTTTTAAATGAACTTGCAAACTACACTAGTTTAATGTTGGAATTAAACTCTTAAGATCATTAAGAATTGGTTTAAATTTATAAGTTCTCTTCCAATTTTGAGTGATACTTAAATAAATAATTGTATCTGGCGCATGAATGTAAGTGCAAATATTTTAATTTAGATAAAATAATCACAGATATTTACGATCTTCTGCAGGAAAAAAGAAAAGAAAAGAAAAAGTTGGCATAATTGTAAAAACCAAAATTTAAGTGTTAGATGAGTAAGAATTTAAGAATTGGTACGTAGTATATGTTCGTACATGCCCCTAATAAAAAATTGTTATTGACCCCATGGTACTTAAGTTTAATGAAAATTATTTTGTCAGGACTCCTAACTTAGAGAATCATTTGAAGTCCAATGAAATCGCACCATATGGCGGTGACAGAAAAAAAAATAAAATCTATCGGGAAACACAAGAGAATATTCCTCCCGTGTTACTCAGGTGTTATTGTGCGTTATTTAAGTGTTATTGATGTGTTATTGTGTTATTATAACACCGAGAATATTCCCTGAACACAATAACACCTAAATAACATACAATAACACCTGAATGACACGGAATAATACGGGAGGAATATTTCTCTATGTTACCGGACTGATTTTTATTCTTTTTCTGTCACTGCCACGTGACGTGATTTCATTGGACTCTGAATGGTTCTCTACGTTAGGAGTCCTGACAGAATAATTTTCCCAAGTTTAAATGTGTTAAAGTATACGTTCGATGTGAATATCCCTAAACACAAAAACAAGTAGTTGTCATCTCCTCGCCATCCTTGAGGGCTTCCAGATGTTCTGATATATAGCTCTATTTTTGAAAAATATATTATATCAGATGCATTAGGATTCTAATCATTGTCTGCTTACGTATACAGTCCAATTTCACCGCATATTAAATTATTTAATTTTTTTAGTAAGAGAAAGTGGACTGTACATATGATAGATAATAATTGAAAATCTGATGCATCCTGAGGTCATATCTTCTCCCATCTTTGAGGTCACCTGTTGACTAATGAGATTGACATATAGTGATTTATTTCTGATTAATCATTCCTTTTGACTTTTAACGTGTAAGCATGGTTGACGTCAGCTATATATTATTTTCTCAAGGTTTGGCATGAATTATTATTATTTTAATTTGCGTTTGAATATAGCTGACGTGAGCCATGAAACGGCTATTTGGAATGTTTTCTTATTTTAGACGTTAAATGTCAAAGTATGATTAATCAGAAATATTCAGCACATATCAATCTTAGTATTCATCCGGGGACTTCAAAGATGGAGCCAAAGCTCCGACCATGTGGAGGTGACAACTAGCTGTGCTTATGTATATGTGTGATCTAGCTGTTAGTGAGGCACAAGTCAAAGGTGTCCTTCAATATGTTTTATTTCTATTTCAGTGTGATTGAGGAAGTGAAGTGACAGAGTTTATGTGGTAGAATTTGGTTGTTTTAGATTGGTTTGAAAGAGGGTTTGAAATTCTAAAGTTTGAGCGTATTCGATGATGTTTGAGTGAATTCGATGATGTTTGAGTGAGTTCGATGATGTTTGAGTTTACAATTTTAAGGTTCTAAAGAGCAAGTGAGTTCAATTTTGTTCAAGTTTACAAATTTAAGGTTCTAAAGAAACCTTTGGGATTATATGAGATAAATAAGTTTGATAAATTTAATATTGTGATTTCAGATTATTGTAAACCTGTGACTAAGTTGATTTTTTGGAAAAAAACTATTGAGATGTAGTTTAAAATTTAATATTGATGGTAGTTGGAATAATTTATATGTCGGTATTGGTGGGATGTCATAATTTTATAGGAAAATGTTTGTTTTGGTCTTTTACTCCTACTGTGACTGATACTCCTCTTTGTGTTGCAGCTGGAATTGTAATTATGACCCTCTTCTTAGCAATTAAATGCGGTTGGTATTACATTGAGATTGAGATGGATTTAATGGAACTTTGAAACTTTTGTACTATAAAGAAAAAGTATCCTTGATTTCTTATTTTTTCTATGAAAAAAATCTTTACTTCCCTTACGATTGTGTAGGTTTTTTAGACTTTTTATCATCGAGAAGAGAATAAATGCGCTAATTGGACTGCTAAATGAGGATTGGTGACTCAAGAATTCAATTTCTCTGTTAGGATTCCTCTAGAGTTAACACGTTTGATTAAGAGTGATTGTTTAAAAAATTCATTATATTTGTATTGATAATAGTCTTTGAGGTTTTTATTATATGAATTGTACGTGTTCTTCGGTCGTTTAGTTTTTTCTTTTTTGCATGAGTTGTTTGGGTAGTGGTGTCTTTTTTGGTCGTTACCCCTAGTTTTTTTTATTTTTGATGAATAAAATTTCCTCCGAGATTAGTTAAAAATAAACATTTAATATTGACACAGTAAAATTGTTGTGATTCATTAAAGTACTCCTCACAATAATCCTCTTATAACTAAAAGCTAGAGGAGAACAAAAAAACAAAACAATACAAAAGATTTTCAGGGTTAAAAATAAAAGAAAGCATCAATATCCTACTTCCCAACAAATTTCTCACTTTTACTAACATAAGAAGCATATCAACAGAGTCAATGTTCCCAACAAAAACAATTTCACTAATGCACTCCTCCCTAAAACCCCATGAAATATTACATACGTGCAATCGTATGTACATCTACGGCTAAGAAGTGCAGAAAAAAAATGGCAGATCTGGCCGCACCTACGGCATCCAATGTACATACGGTGGAATTATGCAATATTTGCTGTTAAAAACCCATCTAACAATATACACAATGTTCCACTCTGCATCCCCCATTTTGCTCATAATTTACTGATATGTGCGAGTCTATAAAAATCTCTAGTCTTCCACAATCAAAGTGCCAGAGCATCCTACATTGTAGCACGTTGTTTTTCCCTCCAGTTTGCTCCCCACATCATTGCCTTTGCCACTTCCTGCTGCCTATCAATCTCCTTGTTCGTGATGCTACCAATCTCCTTCGGCACATCACCTTTCTCGATCCCACAGAGATTCCGCTTGCTTCTATCCTCATGATTCCCTCGTCCGAGATTCTCCTCCCTCGATCCTCTACTCTGTTGTTGACTATAAACCGGCACGCCTGCGGGCTCATCGGTTTGTGATTCTAAGTATGACAGTGCAGTAACAACATCAGCAATGAGTGGGCGAGTGGTTGCCTCCTCTTGGATGCACATGGACGCCACTGCAACGGCTTGGTAGAGACTACGCATTGGGTATCGTCCTTGGAGCAATGGATCAGCAAGCTTGGAAAGCTTTCTGTGGTCAGTGAGCATTGGTTTGGCCTGCAAGGAACTCCATAAAGTTAGTTTTGCTTTTTAGGCACAAGTTTACATAAAATAATTTCTTTTGTAATGTTTGTATAGTATGAAAAATCAAAATAATACGCTTGGCAGACAATGTTTGATGCAACATAAAATTCCCCCTCTGTGAATGTAGAGGTTTATAAATCCACTGATTCTTTGAAGCCCTACTCCGAAAATAGAAAACACAAGCCCAAAAGACTTTTGGCAAAGAACAAACATCATTATCATTAGTTTTCTTTAAGAGTAATTCTATACTTCAAAAATATTATACAACAAAATTTATTTAGGGCTCACTTTAGGTGGGCTAACCAAAGTGGAGAGAGTTAGAAATACTTATGCTTGGTTATATTTATATTAGTCTACCTAATCAAAAGAAAATGTGAATTGCGCTTATGTGAAAAATTTTATTGCGAGTATATCCTTTCTTTATTAATAATCCTGCTCTAATATTTAGGATCAGCTATTGAGTTTTCCTCTTCATTTATTCTTATCAAGTACTCTGTGATGTTAACTCCAATTTATAAACCTTCTCTTTATAGTTTCTAGCATGGGTTTTAAAACGAGCCAGGACCATCCAGTTCGAATGGTTCAAGCGTGAACTGATCAATTAGCAGGCTTGATCCAAGCTCAAAATCATTTCTGCATAAAATCAAGATTGAACCAGTTAAAGCCGGGGCTGAACCAATGAACTAGTGAATTGATTCGATTTCTAAATAATCGGTTTGGTTCAAATATTATCCAATTTTATTTTTTTTAATTGTGATTGAAAGACTAGAAATATAATATTTAAACTAAAAATAGAGATAATGTCATGTTTTAAATTTTTTATTTAAATTATCTTTCAAAATAATCAAAATTTTGCCTTATATTAAAATATTATTTGTTGAATAGATAAAATTAATATTAATATATCATTATTCTATTATTTAAGCTATATTAAAATAATTTAAATATTTATTACATTATCTTGTTCAACTCTGGTTGAACCATTGAACTTTGAACATTTTCTTCAGCTGGTTCAATGTCCGCTCTGGTGTTCACAATCTTGATTTCTAGCCATGTTGGTTTGAGTTATTGATTTTACTTCTTAACCTTTCCAAAATAATTTTGTGCTAATTTGGGCTAGATTATGCTCTTCTACTTTCACTATTAAAAGATCATCATTGTTTTAAACATAATTTTCTAAAAGCAACTTTTAAGAGAAAAAAAATCATCCAGAGGATATTGATTTTTAATGGCTATTTTTCTAAAAAAAACCTCCAAAAAGCGATGTCAAATAATGTCTTTATTAATAAAAAAATTAAATGCATCATTTTCACTCTATTTTGTATGATTAAACAAACAAAAACTACTAAAACTTCTATTAATAGATGTCGCTTATATTATCACTGGATATAACCTTTTCTCAATATATCCATCAATGCTTTATAAATAAATCAATTTTCTCATTTCTATCACACTCAAATAATCAAAGCGAACAAATTTCACATATATGCTACCTAAATGGCAGAAGGGACTTTCTCAATATAAATAGTTTTTAATCTAAATATAGGAACTTGATAGAACTAACCATCCTAATTACTTCCAACTCTATTCATTTCAAAATTTGATTTCGAAACATACCCAGCGAATAAGGTTCTGTTCTCCATGTGCTCTTGTGCTGTCAATGGACTTTCTTCCAGTTATTAGCTCCAGAAAGACAACTCCAAAGCTATAGACATCAGATTTGGCTGTCAGCTGCCCTGTCATAGCATATTCTGGAGCACAATATCCATAAGTCCCCATCACTCTAGTTGAAACATGAGACTTGTCGCCAACTGGACCAAGCTTTGCAAGTCCAAAATCAGAGAGCTTTGCATGGAACCCCTCATCTAATAATATGTTAGAAGATTTGAAATCTCTATAGATGACCGGAGGGTTCGCTTTATCATGTAGATACTCCAACCCTCTAGCTGCACCCGCTGCAATTCTCATCCTTGTATTCCAATCCAGCGCCTCCTTACCTGGTGGGAGATCTGCAAGAAATACTGTGTTATTTAATTGAAGTTCTCAAATGACCCATTTGAATTTGATGATAGTCATATATATGCTAACCAAGTAGCTACCAAAAAAAAAAAAGAGATATGCTAAAATGGAAAATTAAATTAAGCAAGTCATGAAAAAAAGAAGTTCTATCTAAGAACAAAATAAAATTATGTAGCTTTCCTCCCAGTCATGTATGATGGTTTTGTAAATATATGAATTATGGATTTAGTAATTTAATGATTTCCCATCAAATTGAAAATGTTTAAAAAGATAAAACTCTGAACAAAAATTATTTAATCATAATACCGAAATGCCTCATTTTTAAAGTTTTTATTAATATGATGATGCAGGTTGTAATGTATCTTCATGCTTATAATTTGTCCTTTTCAAGTGTCTTTCTAACATAATTATTCCATCAATTTTATTATCCCATTCATCATTTTGAGTAGGTGGTTTGATCATTTGATTCATTAAAGATTAAAAAGCTATAGTATTTTATAAGCATCATATCGGTCACAAGTCCTTATGACATCATAATCAAAATAATCAAACCACATATTCATTTGTTCGAGAGAATTCTAGTAAAATAAAGGCTGTAACAATATGTGGGAATCACATTTATAAATTCTCCACATTTTCAGATTAAAATATCAAATAATTTCTCTTTAGAATAGAAACTAACTTAAAGAAAACATGCAAAATTCTATCCAATCTCTGACATTTTATTCTGGAGACCAAAGATAAAGCATCAAAATATAATCCCATGGACATAGGAAATTCTTTGGCAATTAACTAAGCTTTGTACCAATCAGTGGAAACTTGACAGCAAAATCCCATCAGCAAGAAATTGGCTTGATCTGAACAATTTCTAAGGTATGCTGACCTTGGAGAGTATTCATTTCAACATCCATTCTTTATTTCTGTAAAGTATATTAAAGTGCTTCCACATCCGTCCTTTAAAATAGAGATGACGACATAACAAAATGAAGATGCAACGAGGGTAAATAATTAAATATCATGAAAGTTTGATTAAGATCATAACATGTCATTTATCTTGTTGTAATGCAATGGAAGGATCTAGATCTGAAGGCTTCATTTCAAAGGGTTACATGATAGAAGTACAAGAGATGATAGGAGATATTTTATGAAGTGGAATCCGAGACCTTCTTGAGTGTAAATATGGAGTAGATGTAAAGAGTGAGAAAACAAGTAGAAGAGGAGAACATGATAACGAGTCAAAAGTGGCTTTAGAAGAGAGAAGAAATTTTTTTTTGAAGTCCAACCATCTAAACTAAGTTGAACAAGCTCGAATTTGAATTTTGTTCTAACCTATGTTCGAAACTAAATTGAATCCAAATTAAAACTTGATTGAATCCAAATCAAACCTTTTTTAAGCATGATTCGAATCAAAGTTGACCAATGTTTGAATTGTTTCTTACTTGGATGTGGGAGTAAGAGAGATTTATTATACTGAACTTATTTTAACTTGTTGCATATATTTTTTTATAATGCACAAACTTATATTTGCACATCACATCTTACTTCATGATTTTTTACAATTATGTTTGTTATTTTGACCCCCAATTAATGAACTAAGGTAAAAGGGCAATTTTGTAATGTGGCACCGCCACCTACCACATCTCAC